GAAAATTCTCAAGAAAGGAATGCATAGACGTGTAGCCACACATTTGGCCATACAGAACAGTATAAATAGTTTTCCTGTTAAGAACTGCTATCAGGAAAACCAAATCCCGCATGTTCTTATTTATAATGGGGCACTAACAATCGGGTACATATGGACATGAAGATGGGAGCAAGAGACACTGGGGTCTATTAGAGCAGAAAGAGAGGGGTGAGGGCTGAAAAACTACCAACCCGGGTGACTGGATCATTCAAACCCCAAACCTCAGCATCACACAATATACCTATGTTACAAATCTGTACATGTACCCCCTGAATCTAAAATAAAATTTGAAATTATTTTTGAAAATTAGGGAGACATTCATTTTTCTCAACAAGAAGACTCCACATTAGAAAAAAATGTCCAAATTAATCTATAGTCTTCTGTCCCATAAAAAAAAGCTGGATTTTACTTGAAAAGTTTCTAAATTTCTCTAAGAAGAAAAGGAGAAACACACACACACACAAAATTGCTATTAGGCTATCTTTCTGATCTCCTCAACTCTCCAAATTAAAAATACTTGTATCACAAGGCTTTGCTTACGGTTTTAAAGACAGGGCATTCACTTTAAAAATATCTCATATGCTAAAATTCAAATAACTAGACAAATCATTTCAGCTATTCCTGGCCAAGATGTATACATTGGCAATATACACCTGTAACTAAGAGGTATATTCATAGCTCCAACACAGAATCTAAAGGTAGCCTAAGGTGAAGGGAAAGACCCAGGGTCCAGTACTGATATTTCTTTTCCTTGTTTTATTCCTGAAGATGTGATTAGAAACATGTGCATATGTGTGTACATACACACACACACATGCACACACACACAATTTAGTTAGTTGGGTGTTTATTTATCTTTCCATGGATTAAAAAAAACTATAGGTCTAGAAATCTAGTATTTGGGAGGGTATATTTTATAAACCTATTATAATTCTGTGTTTATTCTTTTTACTTGCCTTTAAATATTTTCCAAACTGTTTAAATACAATCTATTTACTTCCTCAGATTTGTTAAATATACAAATAATACTGTTCATTTAAGAAACAGAATAAAAACTACCCACAAACCTACCACCAGTAGAAAAACACTGTTACTAACTAGGGCTCTTGAACTCGAATTTACATTCTGTATCTACAAGTATAAAATGTATAAGTATGTGGGCATATATACTTATTTATATAAATATAAATAATAAAATGTTAAATATACCTGCATACTTATCTCATAGATATGATATGTAAGATTTTAGGCTGGGCTCGGTGGCTCACGCCTGTAATCCCAAAAAGCATTTTGGGAGGCTGATGTGGGCAGATCACCTGAGGTCAGAGTTCAAGACCAGCCCGGCCAATATGGAGAAACCCTGTGTCTACTAAAAATACAAAATTAGCCAGGCGTGGTGGTACATGCTTGTTAATCCCAGCTACTTGGGAGGCTGAGGCAGGAGAATCGCTTGAACTCAGGAGGCAGAGGTTGCAGTGAGCCGAGATCGCACTGTTGCACTCCAGCCTGGGAAACAGCGAGGCTCCAACTCAAAAAAAATAAAAAAGATTTTATGCACATGATATACAAAAATATATAAGTACTGGCCGGGTGCAGTGGCTCATGCCTGTAATCCCAGCACTTTGGGAGGCCGAGGTGGGTGGATAACGAGGTCAAGAGATTGAGACCACCTTGGCCAATATGGTGAAACCCCGTCTCTACTAAAAATACAAAAATTAGCTGGGCGTGGTGGTGCGTGCCTGTAGTCCCAGCTACTCAGGAGGCTGAGGCAGAAGAATTGCTTGAACCCGAGAGGGGGATGTTGCAGTGAGCTGAGATTGCACCACTGCACTCCAGCCTGGTGACAGAGCGAGACTCTGTCTCAAAAAAAACCACAAAAAACAAAAAACAAAAAAAACCATATATATGTATGTATGTATGTTGGTGTTTGTTTTTATGATTTTGATTTTTTCCTTTTGTGTTTATTGTGGGAAGAGATGGCCAGGGGCAGACGTGTGTTACTTACAGTTAAATGATCAGAAGCTTGCTTTGCTTTTTATACACTGAGATTTGTGTCACGGATCATATCCAAACTATAGTGCAGTAAAATAAAAGCAGAGATCAAGTGGAAACAGGAGGTCTATGGTAAAGTCCATCGGAAAGCGCCTTATAACTACAGAATACTGCAGTGTGGTTACAGTGCAGAAAAAACTGCTTTGGTCCCACAGCTCTTCCCACCACAGAGTTTGTGTGAAGATCTCCTAAAGGGAGCTTATGCAAAAGACTGACAAGTAATGCAACCTCTGCTCACAAGACTTGGGAGGGTCTTTGCAGATGGGAGCCGGTAAGGCCAGAAGGCCTATACAGGGCAGAGATCACTGAACACCATAGGGTCCGCCTATGTTCTCAGAATATGGAGCAATTCTGATTGCTCTATGTCCACAATGCTCTGGAGATAAAAGCCCCTTGATGCACTGTATGATGGCGCCTTATCCGCTGCACCTCTCTCGCCAAAACAACTGGATACACAATGGGTGGTAAAATCTCAGTCTCCTTAGTTGGTATTTCTTAGGAGAACCATGTTGCTACTGAATGCTGCAGACACATGCTCTTCCTCCGGCTATCTTCTTCTTCAACCTCCCTCCCCACAGCCTGCAAAAGATAATGCACCCAATAAAAGCGCAAGAAGCCCAGAGCTCAATGCTAACTCGGATCACCCCACTGGAGTGCACTGGACCCCTGGACCTATGCTGTAAAATTCTATTCTTGTGTCTTTGTCCCTATTTCTTTTCTCACTCCCTTGTCACTGCCAGACACAGGGCACCCACGAATAGGGTTCGTCTGGTTCCCAACGGTTTATCTTTATGGACTTACTTTTGTTTTGCTATTTAATAGTTTATGCTATTTCTATGTTTGGGCTATTGTCCTAAAAGTTAACTGTTAAGTCAGAGTTTGAAAATCTTTTATCTTCTTTGACCACTCTTAAATTTTATCTTAGGTTTTATATATTCGATGTTAACATTATTACAATTTTCTCCTTTAAATTTCTAAGTTCCTATTTTGGTTCTAGAGTTTTAATAACTTTGTTCCTTTTATCTGTTTACTCTCTAAATTCATTAGCACTTTTATTGGTTAGTTTATAAGCTTCACTGCATCATATTTTTTTAAACTATATAATTCCATTTATATGACCTTCTGGAAAAGGCAAAACTGTAAGGGCAAAAAAGAGATTGCTGGTTGCCAGGGCACAGGATAGGGTCAGGAGAAGGGACTTGACAGCCAAGGGTCATATGGGCACTTTCTGAGATGATGGAACTATTCTACATATAGGCTATGCCATGGTCCTGCAATAGAATACCTCCAACCAACACCAGTATGTGTACTCCAGTCCCATCCTCAGGTTGTCCAGCTAAAAGGTGAGTAACCTGTGGGTGCTAATACAAGTGCAATGCTACAGTAGCTCCTGTAGCATCTTTGCAAAGATGTAGGGACCAACTGTCTACAGCCCATCTTTAGTTCACAATAAAGCATTGGTCTTTCCAAGTGACCTGGAATCTTAATCTGTGTACTATCTTTACTTACTGATGTGGATATCCCAGTGTTACCAGGTTCCTATGGTTTTTCAACACCAAACCTCTAAGGTCCAGATATTCTCATATATCCTGAGAGAAATCTATACCCACATCCCTGAACTTCACTGATCCAGGGTCAATCCTCCTCAGGGTTTTCTTCTGGAAAAACACGAGTCTAGAGAAGCCACAGCTCTACTTTGATTTTTAGGTGTGTAATTCTTTTTTCACAAGATACTTCTTTTGAGAAGGGGCAGAATGCATGAAGCCCAACAGGAACACAACCACTAAGTGGTCCCAGAGCCATTGTATTGCTTTTAACTTGTTTAATCTCTCTCTCAATTCTTTGTTTCATCTACTGTAAAATGGAGAACAGGGAAAAATTCCTTGTTCTGTATACTATAAAAGCAAAAAGGGAGATATAAATGGCCACAGCAATGACCTTTGTTGAAAAAAGCCATATATAAACCAAAAACATGGGTGTTGTCTTCGTTCCATCTTGCATCTGCCTACAAACTTCCCTTAATAGAATAAGGCTGATTTTCCTAAAATATCTCAATCTGGGTAACTCTGTAGAACCAGTCTAAAATGCTTTCCTCAGACAACAATGATACTATTTCTACAAATCTTAGTATATGGTAGCCACTAGCCACATGTGGTTATTAGGCACCTAAAACATGGCTAGAGCGAATTGAGATGTGCCGTAACTTTAAATTCTGGTTTTTGATTACTTAGTATGAAAAACAAATGCAAGATAACTCATTCATAATGTTAAAATAATAAATACACTAACTGGATCCTCAAATACTTACTGCTCTGGCTTGAACCTAACTTGGGTTCAATCTCAGCAGGATCATGTGAGGTTTCTCTCAGCTTATGGGTCTTCCTAGAACCTTCTACCCACTATTACAAGGATCACTAAGTAGATTTGAAATTGTTCCTTTCGGGTTTTTGACAATGGAAAAGTAAATAAATATTCTAATTTGCTATTTATTTCATGCTACACTACAATAGAGGCTTCATAGTAGAAAAGCTCTAATTTTCCTCATGACTTCTAACTATAGAAGACATATATAGTCAATTATAACAAAAATCAGCCTTTTTATAAGTTAAAGTTCAGTTATTCCAAGAACTAATTTTTTAACCGAAACAAGCATTAGATATTAATATGGATTCACCTGGATAAATGAAAGAGAACACCAGATTCATACTCTGCTGAACCATACCTAATCATTCTCGAAAGACAGATCACCTCTTTAATCAGGCTTACAAATTTGACACAGTATTTTTCCAAAGACCTCATGCTTGAATGTCATACTCTGAAAGATACGTTAACCATCTAAGGCATAAGCAGAGAATATCTGGCAGAATTAAAAAACCATATGCACAGCACACAAACTCCTAAGGTATTACCTGATAGATATCAGATAAACTGCTGCTTCCAGAGTCACTGGCAATGCTACAACCAGACTGACTAGAAGACACATGAGTCACCTGTGGATGAGGGTTGTCTGTGAGATGCATCTTGGTAAGATCAGCTGGAAGCTGAAGAAAAAAAAATAATTTAAGTTATTCTAAATGTCAAGCTTTACTTTTTTAAGCGTTGACACGTTAACTTCAACAAATTTTTGTGTATATTACTGTGCAATCTCATTTCTAACCCAAGTTCTCCACTTTTAGCAAAAAGATATTTTGAAATAAGAATCATATAGTACTCTCTGAAACTATTAGGCAATCCTACAACAGTTAGCTCACTGAACAGTTTTCAAAAGAGACTGTCATCACTAATATTTCAGAGGAAAAACTTGGTCCTCCAATTCTCCCAAATAAAAACATCAGAACCTTCCATCGTAAAGTGTAGGAATGTTATCTTTTAAACACACATACACACACACACACACACACTCTCTCTGCCTGCCCCCCCCCCACTAATAAAAATTGGTTACAAATACCAGAATAAAACACCCAAATTTTGGAATTAAGTTCAGCTACTGGCAGCAAGACTTAAGACCAGTAACAAACTGATTACATTCAATATTCCAAAATTTTTGTGAGCATCTTTACTTAATATTGAATTAGCTTACAGCTGGCCCCTGAAAGATTTCTTAGTAATCAAAATGATTTAATGAATGTCTGTGCTAGGTGCAAGGACACAAGAAACACAAAAAGTAAATGACTCCACCAACTCATCTTTAATATGGTCACACTCTTATCAGGTATGCAGGCTGTACAATATATTTCATATCACAAAACAGACATCTCACAAAATAAAAGCTACAGCAATTAAGACAATAAACAAACCATTGCACTCCAGAGTACTAAATGTTTTACATAAAAGGTATGCTTATATATTTTCTAAATGATTTCTCTGCAACTTGCTATTAAGGGCTATTAAGAAAAATCAATTTAATTTTTAAAACGGTTTCTCACTGCTTTACTGCTGAAAAATATTAAAGAAACACACATATAGTATAAATTAAATGTATTCTGAGGAAATGACTGAGACTGAATTATATTATCTCAAGAGGAATTACTGTAATTATAAAAATTACACATAAAGTATATCACAAACTTCCCCTGTTGATTATAGTGTGTTGGATAACAGATGAATACTAAGATAAACAGAAAACCTGAAATGCATACATACATATATACACAAAATATCTGGCCCCTGAGGTTACTTTTTCTCCTAAGAATATTTTCTGATTCCTAAAGAAAAGGCTAAAGGCCAAGAAGTACCTGTGACAGCCACTGGCTAAAGGGACAAAGGTTAAATTCCAAGGCCTAGGATGGAAGGGCCATCTTTGGATTGGAACTCTGGAGAATAAATTAGACTCTAGAGTAAATGTCACCCAAAAATAAACTGATGCTAATTTTAGAATCACCTCAATGCTTGATGCTAAAATAAGGTTATACAGGATTACTAATGTTTCTAGTCAACTGTAGGAAGCAAACACAATCCTCACTATAGGAAGAAACTCATCCTAGGACTCAACTAAAAAAAACTTTTTTTTTTTCACATATACAACATCCACCACTCAGTCCAAGAAATCACGCATATATAATGAGACAGGATGACACTGATGAGAAGTACAGGAATAATAAACTCCAGAAACTAATGAAGTTTCAAATAATAGGGTTATCAGACACAGTCTCTAAAATAACTGTGTTTAACATATACTGGGGGTTGGCAAACATTTTCGTTAAGGGCCGAAGAGTATATATTTTAGGTTTTGCAGGCCACATACAGTCTCTATTGTATGCTTTTGTGTTTTTTTTTTTTTTTCTTTTTAACAACTCCTTAAAATTGTAAAAGTCATTCTTAGCTCACAGGTCATAAGCTCACTGGTCACAATTGGTCCAGTTTAGTGATCCACCATACACAGAGAGAAAAATACAAGACTAACAATTTCAGCAAAGAAAGAAAAAGAATGAAATGAAAAATCTAGAACTAAAAAATACAATTATGGAAATTAAAAAGCCAACAGGCAGGCTTAATAAAAGATTTGACAGAGCTAAGAAGAGAATTTGAAAAGTAAAGACTATTCTGAAAAAATATACAGAACGAAGGATGGAGGGGAAAAAAGGTAAAGCTGGGAGAGAAGGGGTAAGAACCACGGGAGATACAGTGAGAACGTGACATCTGAATAAACAGAGTCTGAGAGGAGCGAGTACACAGAAGCAAGACGATGGCCGAGCATTTTCCAAAAGTGACAAAAGACCTAAGGTCACAGATTAAGGAGGTTTAAAAACTCCCAGGAAGATAAAAAAAAAAAAAAACAAACCCCAAAACAGCCTCCCCACAATACCTATGCAAACCAGGGTACATGTGTTGGGGGGAGAGGGGAAAGACCAAGTTTTGTTTTTTTTTTTTTTTTTTTTTTTTTTTTTAGATGAGAGTCTTGCTCGGTTGCCCAGGCTGTAGTGCACTGGCACGATCTTGGCTCACAGCCTCCTCCACCAGCCGGGTTCAACCGATTCTCCTGCCTCAGCCTCCTGAGCAGCTGGGACTACAGGCACGTGCCACCACGCCCAGCTAATTATTTTATATTTTAGTAGAGATGGGGGTTTCACCATGTTGGTCAGGATGGTCTCGATCTCCTGATCTCGTGATTCACCCCGCCTCTGCCTCCCAAAGTGCTGGGATTATAAGTGTGAGCCACCACGCCCAGCCAAAAGTTTTAAAGTAGCTAGGAAAAGAAACTGAGAGGTTAGATTACTTTGGTAGAAGCAAAATTAAACTGATGGTTGGCTTCTCAATAAAAACTCTGGAAGCCAGAATAAAATTGAGTGATGTTTCCAATAACTAAAATTCTATACCTTGCAAAAACAGTCCTCAAAAAAGGGGAAAAACAATTTTCAAATAAAGAAAAATGAAGGAAATAATTCCTTAGTAGCCCTACTATGAATAAAATCCACTGGGAAAAGGAAAATAATTCTAGATGGATGCTTTCGGGCACAAAAAAGAATAAAAACCAAGGAAAATGGGAAACGTGTGGGTAAATCTACATGAATGCTGACTATATAAAATAGTAACATTAATATCCCATGAAGAATTAAATACAAGAAATAAAATACATTACAACAACAGAATGTAAGTCTGGAGAAGGATAAATGAAGCTATTAAAGTGCTCTAAGTTCCCTGCACTTTCCATGAAGCTATAGTAGCAGACTTGACAGGTGAAGAGTATTATGTTGTAATTTCTAAGAAAAGTGTAATAAAATAATGTATAACTACCAAGCTAACAGAAGGGAAAATATTAAATAATCAAAGAATGGAAAAGTATACACCATGCAAACACAACCAAAAGAAAGCTGATATAGCTTAAAGTACACTCAGTGCAAAATCATTAGTAGAGCCAAAAGGGGACATTTCCTAAGTATCTGAGATGGGGGGGAGGCGTTGATGCGTAGGGGGGAGGGGGGGGAGAGAGAGAGAGAGAGAGAGAGAGAGAGAGAGAGAGAGCGCGCGCGCGCGCGCGCGCGTGTGTGTGTGTGTGCGTGTGTGTGTTTATTTAGAGACAAAGTCTCACTCTGTTACTTGGACTGGAGTGCAGTGGTGCAATCTCAGCTCACTGCAACCTCTGCCTCCCGGGTTTGAGTGATTCTTCTGCCTCAGCCTCCTGAATAGCTAGGATTACAGATGAATACCACCATGGCCAGCTAATTTTTGCATTTTTACTACAGAAGGGGTTTCACCACATTGGTCAGGCTGGTATCTAGCTCCTGACCTCATGTAATCTAACCGCCTCAGCCTCCCGAAGTGCTGGGATTACAGGCATGAGCCACCATGCCTGACCAAGGTGATGGATTATTAACTACCTTTGATTGTTCCACAATGTGAACATATATCAAAACATCACACTGTATCCCATAAATATCTCCAATTATTTGTTAATTAAAAATAAACCAAAATTTTAAAAATGTATAAGGCAAAAGTGTCATCTACAGTTATGCTATAAATTTTAATACAGATCTGTTTGTTTGAATAAGCAAAACATAAAAACAAAACAAGTAAAGATATAAAATATATGAACATAATTAACAAACAACCTAAAGAGTACAGACAGAATAATGGAACCCCAAACTCCAGAACACATTTTCTTTTACAGTACATATAAAAACATTTGTAAAAATTTACAGGAAGGCAAGTCTCAACAAATTACAAAAGATTGAAATCAGAGAAAATTCAGCAATAACAGTTCAAATAAGATAAAAATAAATAACAAAAAGATAAACAGAAAACTATCATGTATTGGAAAATTATAAATAATCCTCTATTGAAATGGCCCATAAATCAATGAAGTCACATTGGAAATTAGAAAATATTAAAACAGAAAATTAAGATGCTATATATCAAAACCTGTGGGATAAGTTAAAGTCATGCTTAGAGGCCATTTATAGCTCTAATATGTATATCCAAAAAGACAGCAAAAAAAATTACAATCTCATAACTCCTTACAATAATGCAGAAATATTGATGAGGATATGACACAGTTAAAAGACCTTCCTCTCACTTAGTTTCTATTATTTAGATATTTTAAAAACTCATCTAGGAATGAAGTAGTTGGAAAGGCAAGCACTGAAAATAGCTTTAAAATGTGAGATGTTTGGTTAGGATGTTAGGAGTAGGAGATAGTATATATTCCAAATTCCTACAGAGGTAAGAAGACCAAGGAGAAGAAAGTCATTCATAAAAGTAACACAATGAACCAAAAGCCAGAAGTCTGTCAAGTGGCTTCACAGCACTGACAATGTACTAAGCAATCTTTACCCTCACTAGACCCTAAAAAACAGGCGTTATTATTATCTCTATTTCACTGATGAGGAAGCTGAGGCAGTACAATTAAGCAACTTGTCCCAGATCTTACAATCAAGTTAAGTAGCAGAGCTGGGAATCGAACCCAGGTAGGACTCTAGCATTTTTTCTGTTATATTCTACTTTGTGCCAGGAACTCTGATGATAACATAAAAATGAAAACATATGGGCCCTGCCTTCAAGGAGCTCAGTCTAATACTAAAGAGTGGAGACAGATTTATAAGCA